CTCGCGGTCCCCAACCAGGTAGTCCACACCTACCAACATGACTCAGTCCACTTGTCAGTGACTTCATGGATTTTTGCCATGTTTTGGTCTGACCACTCTTAACTTTCTTCCAACCTAATCCTACACCATAAAACATCGCACGCCGAGGCAGTCGGTGGTTGGACATACGTAACGTGTCCTAGCCATCTCAACTGTTGAAGTTTCACTGCTTCATCAATTGATTTGCCATCCTTACATAGCACCGGTTTCCTAACAACTGAGTTACTTACTCGGTGGTCTCAGGATAGACAAGCAATGTTTCGAAGACACCTATGATCAAATACTAGTAACCTACGAATATCCTCTACTCTTACTGGCCATGTTTCACTGCCATAAAGTAGGACGGAACGAACTGCTGTGCAGTAAACACGTCCTTTGGTTGATAGACGGATATCTCGCCTACGCCACAAATGACACAGGTTGGCAAAGGCTGATCGAGCCTTCTGTATCCGTACCGAGATTTCGTCACACACCAAACCACAAGGGCTGATGAGACTTCCGAGATAAGTGAAGCGGTCGACACGCTCAACTACTTCACTCCCTATCACTAGTTCGGGTGTCGACGCAACCCAATCCTGAAGCAACATTTTTCATTTCGAGGGGGAGAATCGCATGCCGAACATGCCTGCATTGTTGCTTAGAGTGGTCAGCAGACTCTGCATTTTGTCAGCGTTTTCACCAATTAGAACTACGTCATCGGCATACTCTAAGTCAACAAGCGGATCTCCCGGTAGAAGTTCCACTCCTAGAAATTTAGATGAGGAAAGTGTCATCTCTAAAAGGACGTCAACAACAAAATTAAACAAGAATGGAGAGAGTGGACAGCCCTGACGAACACCACTTGAGGTAATCAGTTCTGATGACAGTTCGCCATAAGCTCTAACTCGACCAGTTGTGTTCGAGTAGAGAACCTTTACAAGGTTAACGTACTTCTTTGGTACTCCTTTCAGTGACAAACACTGCCATAGAACCTCACGATCAACAGAGTCAAATGCCGCCTTAAGGTCGAGAAATACTACCATTGTGGGGCGTCTGAATGTGTGTCTATGTTCTAGGACCCGACGTAGTGTGAATATCTGGTCTATACAACCACGTGGGAAACCGAAGTGTGGCTGAAGGCCAGTTGAACTGATCCCTAAAGTGTTCTGCCCATCGATCCGATCTCCTGGATTGAGAATGAATAATATGTCCATATTTTTCGGAGATTGTTTCGCTAACAGTTGGGTTCCTAATACCGGTTTCGCTAACAATCCTGAACAGTTGTCTGCTGTCGCTCATTGCCTTTGTCTTTTCCATCTCTCTTGCTTTCGTTACCCACCACTGCTCACGATCATTGGGTAGGCTTCTTGTCAGCCTTCGCTTAAGCTGACTCCGCTCTTCGCTATTTTCAGAGCCAGATGGAATGAGTTTTCAAGCATCTATCAGTGCAGTAGATGCTGCTGAGATCCAGTGTCTCTCCCTAACCTTATTGTTTCCCGTACTTGCAGACATCATTGCCGTTTCTACGGCTTTTCGGATGTCATTCCACGCTGCCTCGGGGTGGGCGTCACTTACATGGCTGCCTAACTGTTTTTCTAGATGTTCCTGAAATATACTCTTAGCTTGACTATCATTAAGTAGGACCCTAAGGGGTTTCCTTGCACCATCTTTCCTACGTCCATTAAGATGTAGACAAATACGCACTTGCACTAGAGCATGATCTGAGTCTAAGCATGTGCTCCAGAATGAGCGACAGTCTTCTATCGAGCCCCTTCATCGGTGGCTGATAGCGATGTGATCTATTTGGGTCCAACGTTGGGACAAACTAGGGGTCTCCATGTCGAAAGACGTTTTTCCCTAAACTTAAATTTAGTATTTGCAAGAAAGAGGCGGTTATCTGAGCATAGCTGCAACAGACGGTCGCCATTATCTGTTCTTCGAGCCGCGACACCACAAGATCCACCCACGTGTCTTTCCCTTTCGCTTAGTTTACCTACTTGAGCATTAAAGTCACCAGCCACTATTAATACATCTGAACGCCTAGCTTTTCGGAGGAGGTCGGAAAGCTTTCTGTAAAACTCATCTTTTACATCATCTGAGCTGCAGTCAGTGGGAGAGTAGGCAGAGACGACGAAGAGGCAACGACGAGTGTCCTTACCTTTCCGAGTTCTTGCTGTTCCGTTTAGTCGGACAGCTCACAAACGACTGTCTACTGGGATCCAGTCTAAGAACTAGTTCTGCCCTGGGACTCAATGCTATGCCTACACCAGTGAGACCACGAGAAGCAGCATCAGGGCTTCCAGACACACGAAGAGTAATTTGAGTTGGTTCGTTACTTTGATGTGGTGACGTCAAATGAATGACACTACTCGGATCCTGCATGTGTGTTTCGGAGACACAGCACACATCGATGTTGCGAGATTCTGAGGTCCTAGCTGAGGAAGCCTGTTGTCCTATTTGGCACAGCGTTCGGATGTTACAAGCTCCTACACGTGGTTTAGAGAGTGGTTTCAGGAGACCAGGAATAACTTTCCGCGTACTCGAATCGTTTGCACTAACGGTGCGAAGTGATAAAGGGATGAGAGAAGGGTTAGTCGTGGAGATAAGAGAGTTATTAGGAGATGTAGGAAGGATTTGAATGTGACCAACTTGGTCTCGTGTGCTGTTGCGGGTATGAGGGCTGATGTCACTTCTCGTCTGTCCACACAGTAGAAGGGTGTTTCTTGAGGAACCTGCAAAGCAAGTTGAATTAATGTTGGTCTTAATGACCTGGGAGCGTGACCACAGAGTCCAAGGGACAACTACTTGAGGCCGGTCGCGCACGGCCTTTTTGTGGGAGATTTTTAATGTGTTAGCTCCGTTCTTCAAAGGGCCTTACCACCGGAGACGAAAATCCGTGGGGTAAGGTGAGGTTTGAAATTTTTAGGGTCAACCTTTTCTAACCCATTTCTTACTTGTGAGAAGGCAACATCGCCGCAGATGCTGGTTGTCCGAAGGAAACACCTTACTGCTGTCACACCCCTCTACACTCAGCAGTACGACTTCGCCCTCAGACCTTGAGTTTCTGCTTTTAGACTTATTGTTCTCCAATCGGCCTGCCTGGCATGGTAGAACCTACAGGAACATATGTTCCAGCCAATATAACTCTGTTGGGTCATCACGATAGGCAAGCCAGACCACCACGTCAAGGTAGAAGCTGCGGCCGGGTCACTAACAAATCGACCAGAATGTATGCGTTTGAGTGGCTAGGATACCGACTATCAAAAATTCATATACCTGGACTCTCACAAAAACAGAAGGAAGTGAGCTCAAGGAAACCAACTGCTTTATACAAACTTGGCTCATAGATATCAAGTATTTGAAACTATAAATCTAAGCCACTCTTATATTTGTAAACTTACTGGCTATGTAACGTAAACAACGTCTCTGTACTGTTAATACAGCTGGATTATATTCCATGGATAAGATTTTAGTGGACAAATACACAAAAAAACGTAAGTTATTGTCTCTCACCATACGGATGAGTTGTTCGATAATTAAGTAGCAAGCCTGCAAAAATTTGGATAACTCAAATGAAGAAATGGTTAAAATTAAATCCTTATTTTTGAAGTTCAGTCGATTACGAATATCTCGAAGGCCTAAATACGTTATTTTAGAAGTATACTACCAATCAAAACCATTAAAATAACTTGCTGAATGTATGAAAAGTTTGTTACATCAACACGATTGTGCCTAAGAAATAGCATGTGATCTACGGACAATTTTCCAGAATAGGAACGTTATTATTATGTACACAACGGTTGTTTAAGTCTAAATTCTGCAATAAATGGTACCATTTGGTAAGTAACATGCACTGCACTCTTCCTATTTGCGAGTGATCTTTCTGGTTTTGTTATGTGCTAACGATATGGAGACATGGAAAGTGATTCAAAATGAAGGAGATAGTTCAGAGTTTCCGAAAGATCCCCAGAAGTTATCAGGACGGCTGAGCACTTAGCAAGCTCCAATAAAGATCATAAATTGCATGATGAAACATGTTGGTCACCAAGGCAGAAATAGATACCAATGAATGGTGTTAGGTTACACGTCGCATAGGAGCACAATGTTTTCGTCAAAACTTGAGCAGTTGACTAAGAGACACAGTTATTATCTGAAATAGGTGAGCTGTCGGGAAAATGTAAACAACATTGGCTAAGTTGATACTGTTGTATGTAAAGAGGCTGGACAGATCCACTTTATTCTATTTATCTTACTCAAAAATTGAGGCAATTCATTTATGATCATTTGGTTACGAAATCAAAACTTTGAATAGAGTCAGTTCCATTTTTGTTCCAGAAAAAGTTGATCACGGGATTCTGAGAAACCTTTCAAGCCAAGAATCAGTAACTTGATACCTGATTGCCGGGTTTCTAGACAAGAAATCAGAAAGTTGATCTATTTCTCTCAGTAGGTAGTTGGAGATGCTTCGGTCAACATACCCCCCAGGAAGGTTGCAAAAATGCCACAAGTATTCAGAGTTTGACAATACCTTAACCAGTAACGCCTTTCATAATCGAAACTTGCCAGTCCAGTGAAATCAAAAGTGAGAAGCGAAGAGGTTCGATGATATATTTGATAGGCTATCAATATATTGAGAAGTGACTATTCTAAGCTGGTTAGCGGTTGCACGAGAAGTAAAGCACGGCGTACTCACTCGTGACATGGTGAGGATGCATGATTGAGCGCCTTTAGCTAGGTGAGTCCGTTAAGACTAATGCGTTCAGCATCAAATGACAAAGACTTACAGAACTATTTAATCTGTGGATTTATTTACTATTAAAGTTGAATCAAATGAGACAAGATAAACAGGATCAACACATGAAATCCAGTGCTCTATCCTTACTCATTCTCACTTGGAAGTGTACATTAATTGGGGTGCAATAATATCTGAAAAACTGTGATGATGTGATATTTTTGTTATAGTGCTTCGAAAGTTTAAAGCTCGGTGACTCTTTTTGGCGCGTTGGTACACACGCGTGGTTAGTTCGTATATCTGCGCACAATGGTTGTAAAAAAAGAAGTTAAGGAGAAAACAAATAACCCGATGCGAGAAATAAAAATCCAGAAGCTGTGTCTTGATATCTGCGTTGGGGAAAGCGGTGACAGACTAACTCGAGCTGCCAAAGTTCTAGAGCAACTGACTGGACAGCAACCTGTTTTCAGTAAAGCACACAAAACTATCAGGAGTTTTTCGATTAGACGTAATGAAAAAATTGCTGTCCACTGTACTGTGCGGGGTCCAAAAGCAGAAGGTACGGCACTGTATTCCCTAATTTTTCAGAAATTTTGGAAAAGGGCCTAAAGGTGAAAGAATACGAGCTTCCTAAATCATGCTTCAGTAAAACCGGAAACTTCGGCTTTGGACTGACGGAACATATTGATCTTGGATTAAAATACGATCCCGCTATTGGAATTTATGGGATGAACTTCTACGTCATTTTGGGCAGACCTGGGATGCGCGTTAGATATCGGTAATTGTACCTTCAGTTATTAAATTTTTATACTAGACGTCGTTGTCAAAGCCGCGTTGGCAATAGCCATCATGTCCAAAAGGAAGAAGCTATGAAATGGTTTCAAACAAAGTTTGATGGTATTTTGCTAAACAAATAATGTAAAGAGGAAATTCTGGTATTTGTTATCTGGTTCTTATTTGTCGTAGCAATTCGTAAAATTAGCTTATAATCTGAGTGTTAGACTAACGAATCCTTGTTGATCAGTTAGTTTATTCATAAATCCGTTTACACATGTTTCGATGGTTATATAGTTAGTTAGTTCGTCTTAGTTGTTAGTGTATATGCTCATCGCTTAGGTTAAGTAAACTACTGCTCACAACATTTAGCTTCTGCATATGTTCGTGCTATGAGTAGATAGGTATTAAGACTTTTATAATCAATAGATTCCATGTTCTTTTTCATAGTAGTTCCTGATTGTAGTTTCGTAAATAAATCATAAATTAGAAACTTGTCATTGGTGTAATATCTGGAGACAGTCAAGTTATACAATTCAGCTTTTAAATGACCTTTGACTATTATGATCCCTTATTGCAGGATATTGGTCTGTCCGCTTAGTATGATATCTACCGTCAGATTACTTGTTAGCCTTTCTACAATATAGCAGTCCGATATCACATTGTTCTTGACAATAACATTGTGAGTGTCTACGTTTTTGTCACAGCTTAGAAACGACAATTCAGTTGATATTTGAATTCCTATTTGGAGATCTCGAAAGGTTGAAAATAAATATTACCCTGTTTTTATCTGACCATTCAACTAACTGCAGAAGGTTCAGTAGTCATAGCTGCATATTTGATGAACCATATAATATATGTTGTCTGGTCTCTTACTTAATTTTACAGAATATGGGATTATAGCCACACATTTCAATCGTTGCAAAAGTTTAGTAGATTGAACAAATTTCTGGAGTTGTAGTTAGAGTTTTGGCTGCTATCGAGCCTGTGTACCTTTCTTTGATTTTGCAGTCAACCAAAAATATTCGTAGCATGATAACGGACTGCATCAGCCAGCACTGTATTATACTGAAATCAGCACTTATAACTTTTTCGGACGGACATAACGTAAATAATGTTTCGGCTGGCTATCAGTAAGTCGGAAAAATACTCTACATCGAACTCCAAACGCTGTAAGATCTCATGAAGTTTTTCGATTTTGGCGTAGGGTATCTAGATTAGTGAAGACTTTTTGGTTGGGTTTCGAACTTCCACCGAGATCAGTGGTTGTAGACCTAGAGTCAGTCACTGGCGCATATACATGCGCTCGTTGTAGTCCTTTAAATACTCATTTCTGTTATTTTGTCATGCATTTTCTGTCAATCCTCTCTAACTAGTTTCTCTATTTTGAATCTGGCCTATTACTGTTGTTGCTGTATTATTTCGGCACACCTGTTACTCATCTTAAGTTGTCTTGTACTAGTGTGGTATGAAAATCCAGTTCAATCCTCGTTTGTACCGAATTCATCGCTGATAATGACTGTTGGTAGTTAGGGGGTAGAATATCTTATTACTCAGCCTATCGCCGCCTTCCAGTTTGACTGTTTTTAGCAGTACCATTATCTAAAAATGCGTCAAACACTATTATTGGGTAGAGCATTCCATGCAAGTGGTTTGAGATAAGGGTGGTAAAAATTGAATGAATCTCTTTATTAAACCAGTAATTATTTGTGAAAATAACATCATGCATATGTTCGATTGGTGTTTTTACCGTACTCATCTTTGTTGTGGTTTATTCTTGTTGGTATAGTCAATAATTTATGCAAGTTGTGGCAAACTTTTCGGGACTGGTGGCAACTAGTCATTATTGTCAATGTTTTCAAACAATTCACTTACGTCCCACTGTCGTGCTTAATGTGTATGCCTGTTTAAGGGCTGATTGCATGACCGATAATTTCATTTCTAACCAGATGTCGGGATTGAGCTAATAAGCAACGAAGATAATCTCTAATTAGACGTGTTGTACCTGGTGCTGCTGTGATGTACTCTGATTAGCTGTGTTAGTCGTTGAAAGACTTTTCACTTATGAAAACAGTAGTGATTTTCAAAGTTTTGTGGTAATGGCATTAGATTAAGGACTGATTAGTTTATCATACTATAGTAAATAAATTGTTGGTTGAGATTTCGAAAAAACTATCTTTTCACAATTCGATTGGGTTATGGACTTCAGTATTCTTGGGAAACGATTCAGTGCTGTAAACGGTTGCAGCAAACAAAGCGGTTGGCCTTCTGCATTGGGACCTATTAGCCTAAAAATAGTTTGTGGGACTATATGGACTAGGTATTGATGATTTATTGTTGTCTAGGCGGTAAACGTTCTTATAATTTGAAAATTTAATTCCTATTATTGGATCCACTATACATAACCATTGTGCTCCAATTTTCGGTACCTTGATCCTTCTGTGAGTCATTTAGAAAAATAAACTCCCAATGAACTTTTTATTCCATAGGAATTATAATAGTTATTTTTACATGACTCAGCACCGATATGTACACATCACACCTAAAAACTAAAGTGGTTGGAGTATATAGAATGTATTCAGTTTTTCTTATTCGGTATTTGTGATTGTATGATCATATAGCCTAAGAATGTATCAAGAAATTCAATAAAATCTTTCTACCGTGTACGTTTTCAAATTCTGAAAACAACGAAAGCTATCGCTGTCGGTACGTAACCTTTGTTACTTTCTCCTAGCGCATATTATGGTTCATTCTGGGTGCATGGAAAGTTCACGTTTTATAAACTAAAATCACTTACTAGGTTCAGGGTTAACATATTCAGCCTACAACTACCTTGTTTAGTGGCTAGATATAGCTTCTTGTTGTTCGATTAGGAGTAGAGTTTGAATCTTCAGTCTATTTGCAGGAATCAGGATACTTCAATCACTAAGCAATAGTCTCACTGTAATTCATATTATCAGTTGTAAGCTAGTTTATCTGTTTTACTGTACTAGATAATGAGACCTGTGCTACCATAAATGAGTCGAACTATTTAACACATAATCGTCAATAAAAACTGTGCAGATACAAACTTATGCAGTACCACGCCCAAATAGCAGATATTGAAGCTTTTAATAAAATAATAGTATTAGTATCAATCCATTTATCAACTGGTCCTCTTTCGATGGTTATTTCAGCTAAATTTTAGATGGTTTTTTTAGTCGATCGAAACTCAAACGTTGGATTATCTTAAGGGTGGATAAGGTTCTTAGTTTTAATTTCCATTTGGAAAAAGATAATATTGAAGTCCACTCATTAAGCTTGATCAACCTTTAGGTTACAAGACGGTAATTCTTCAAATAAAGAGCAAACTGTAAAGAATCAGAAGCTTATCACTACTCGCAACTTAGAGATCACAGCATTTAGACGTGTTCTTAAAAGTTGATCGAATCCTTAAAGATTTTCAAAACAAAACTGTCACCTGTCAATTCGTAAATATGTTTTCTAGTCCTAAACATGAATCAACCATGTCGAAACGTTATATAAATATAGCACAGTTTACAATTTGTGAGTAAAAATGTGGAGAGTTACAGTTCTGTTTTGCTGCGAAATAGAAAAAAAGTACTACATGCATATGATTCCTAAGGAAGTAGAAAGGAAGCCGGATATTTTTTCAAGTCAGACTGTATCAATTTTAACTTGTGCGTCTTTCATTTGTACTAGCGTTGATATTTCTGTGAACAAAGTTTTGTAAAGGTATGTTAGTGTGTTATGCGTTTATGTAAATAGTCAAATTAACTATGATTAGTTGCTACTGATCCTTTTTTAAACAAGTAGCATCAATATTAATAATAATAGTGAAGTTTATATACATATATACTGTGATAGACTTCCTGTAAATCTCATTATATTGGTGATGTCGAAGCATATTTTGTGTTGCAAATTAATTATAACCAATAGTGAGATATATATCAGAAGAAATAAAGAGGGAAAGATTGAAAGGGTATTTGTCTCCCTAAACAGGTGGAAAGAAATGACCGTTTCGTTAATCAAATAATTCTATCAGCACCATAGTTGTTTTCTTATCTCTTATAATATTTCAGGATTCCTCATACATATAAAATTCACATTTGTAATTATTCGGTTGCAAAATCGATTTTGCCAATATAAATTTGGAGTTACAAGTACACAAGCTTTAGGTCCTCGGTAATGTTTTTGTTTTTGTGACAGGTAGTGTTTACGTTTTAAATGTTTATTAGTTGGTGATCTCCATTTTGTATTGACCGGGTGTCCTTTATCCCATTTTGTAAAACCAACATGTTCGAAATTATGCCAAACCCATGGTCCGCGTGGTTGTGTTTGATGAAGACCTATAATTAAGAAAAAAACCTTGTACGTTAGATTTGATCTCACTAGTATTTTATTGCATACTTTTTTATGTATACATCGTATAAGTACGGATTGGGAAATCTAATTTAAAATGGAAAACCATCATCATTTGCTTTACATTGAAATTATCATTCAACTGGGAAACTTAATTGCAGTTTGTACTAAATTCGATTCCTTTCTTGTCTAAATTTACTGGTAATATAGTTCATTTGCCGAGTCCGGTTTCATATTTTAGGGTTTGAACTTTTCACTATTTTGTTTGAGGTCTAGTGGTCCTATTTGGTTCCCCAGCCCGCAAAAGTAGGTGGAACGTGGTTAGAATAAAGCACTCCAATCAAATTGAATTTAATTCTCATCCAGTTTTATTAGAGATAAATTTCTTCGTAGGTGGTTTTTGTCTGGAATTAAATTTAATCAAGAAATCATTGAAAACGTCTGTTTACTGACTGTTTATTCATAGGATATGACCTCAGCAGTGTTTATCTATAACCTCGCAAGCGATTGGACTCATAATCTTCAGTTCTTGAAGCTAGCCCATCACATTTAGATTAGTGAATTGGAAACAAATAGTCCTCATCTTAAGTCAGTTCAGGATGTACTATTACGATCACTTTGTCTCCTTGACAAGGAAATGCTTCATTTGAAAAATAATTGAAACCATACTGACGAGTTTCATACAAGGGCGAAACATCTATCTATTGGTTCCTTGTTTTAAATGAAATTCCAACTGACGCTTCTAGTTAATGAAAACATTTGGATAAAATATTGATAGCATC